GAGTATACATAGTCAAGACTAGGGCCCGACGATGGTGTTGAGAGAGTATACATAGTCAAGACTAGGGCCCGACGATGGTGTTGAGAGAGTATACATAGTCAAGACTAGGGCCCGACGACGGTGTTGAGAGAGTATACATAGTCAAGACTAGGGCCCGACGATGGTGTTGAGAGAGAGTATACATAGTCAAGACTAGGGCCCGACGATGGTGTTGAGAGAGTATACATAGTCAAGACTAGGACCCGTATTCCTGAAACCGTTCTCATGCTCAAGCATGGACTTTGTGCTCAAACTTTATTTCTTGTTCCGGTTGTTAATTGATTAACAAATCTTATTTTGTCCATTATTTGGCTTAAAACCAAATACTGGTTTCAATGTTTACATTTGACTTTTTGATTGTTTGACAGGATTTAAGCGAGTTACAAGAAAGTTTTAGCACAAAATGCATACTTGAGCATGAGAACTGTTTCATGAATATGGACCCAGATCTATTTTTATAGAATCCGCTTTGCTCTTCAGCCATAAGGTCGTTTGCATCGAGATAAGCACGACCCGGTTGTTTAAGAACGCAGTGTATAGTTAAGATACGACCGAGAGCAGGCTCGAAAGTTTAATGGAACGCAAGAAATTTCAATACCTCCAAGGGAGACACGATCACGACCAGGTGATATTCCCGATTTTGCGTTGTTTATTATTTTGTTGATTTCGGGGATGTGTATACAGAGACTCGAGCATTGCTTCTTCTAGTAACCGTTTATGTTGTACAATTTTGTCGTAAACAACATCACTGATAACATCTAGAAAACTCGTTTTTCCACCGAGACAGGACTTCCTCTATGTCATGTTACACTTGGATCTTCACCGTAGACTTCCATTGGAATTGAAGATTTTCGTTGAGGTCCCTGTTTTTAAGACTTCTTCAGAACAGTTTTGGGTTATTTGTACTCGCGTACTCGTTATCCAACGCCAAATTTGTTTATACATCATTTCTTCTTTTCTGTTAGCTTTGTCAATATCGATTGCGTGTATCTGAATTCATTATATAAAATACATTTCTTCGAAATTTCCAGTAACTGTTTTTTCTTTATCATGCATGACTTCCCAACTTCTATTTACACAGTTTCAATGTTTCATCAACGGTATTTTCATTCATGTTACGTTTTATTTAAACAGTAGGTTAAACATCATTTTAGTATTAATTTAAGATCTATAAGTAGACTTTCGCCTTTTTCGCTCTCTGAGAGCGAATTCATTACGACAGTGAATATTAGTTAATATCAGACAATATGGTGCAGTTGCACACGAAGGGCGAAATTAACACTAGAAGAGTATGGATTGTTTTCGGTGGAGGGACCAATATTTGACAAATGCGAAAGTATTCTGTTACACAGTATTTGGTTAAATAACAGTTTTCTCTCAAACCTGATGATTTCTTTTGTAAGATAACCCTCAAAACTATCCAGGTCCTGATATACATTAAAGATAAGCATTTATGTTATATTTTCTCGAAACTCTTCAAACATATCTATGATGATTCATCGTATTTGTTAATGCTGTATGCAAATTGAACTCCCATTGTATATGATATCAAGAACAATTCTGCTATTCGATACAATTTTACTGTTTAACAAGAACGATGTATACGTTCCGCCGTTCATAATAACTGATGTTATGATGATGACTGATGATAACGGATATCCCCTTGTTACCTGGTACACAATAGTACCAATGTCCAATTTACTTCTCGTTGAATATTGAGTGTAATTACTTTACTCACACCATTTGGGAATAGCCTGATACTGAAACAAATTCTTCACGTCAACAACCTTACCATAGACACTAATTGATATAAAAAAAAAAGAGACTTAATTACTATTTACGGGTTATTTGGCAAACGGATAGAGCTTAATGACCTGCTGTTTTTGGAAGGAGATATATTCAGGAATGAATTGTTGTGATAATGTATCCCATTATTGCTAGTTTCAAGTACAGCTGTCCTAATGATATTCGTTCGATAACTGCTTCATTATTTAGCAAAGCGACTGACTTTATATTTTTACACTGAGTGATGCACAGCAATAATCAATATCTTCTTAATGATTTATAAACATGTCATGTCTATACGGATACAATTCCTGGATATAGTACCTAGTTACATTATAGATACAAGATGTTTTATTTAGACTATTATCGACTTTCAACAAATCATGCTGGGGGCGGGTGGGGATACAGGAATTTATTTTGGGTGTTGCTAAAACTAGAAAAAGTCAAATTTTACTAAGCCACTGGTAATTGGCATGAAGGTTTTATCATATGTTCTGCCATATTATATTGTCCGCAATAATGTTCTTTTAATGCTCATCAAAAATGTTTAAAAGGAGATGGTTATTTTGACTGACTACGTACATACATTATTTATATATACGGTGTATGTCACTGATTATAACAAGAACTTGGCTTATTGTTAACTCTCATCGAATTAAAACGAAAGGACATACACATACAGGTGATACTCGTATTTTATAGACTGTTGCATCAATGTATCGCTCCAAGTAAATGATGTTCTCTAGATTAAAGTGTGAGGTGATGCAAAGAGTTAGGGGAGAGGCATCCAGGGGTTCACTCACTTTCGCTCTCTGCACCCCTGGAATATATCATATAGCAAAATCGAAGGCTCAGTGTGCAGCACCTTGTGGATGAGACTAATTTGATCCTTTGAGGTACATCAAAAGAATCTCGCGGTTGCGTAACGGTAAAACTTACTGGCTTTGCAGTCGGGTGTCGCTTCTCTGTAATCTTCAAAGGACAAGTATCAGTCTAGTGATTAGTCATGTTATTTTACATCAGACTAATCAAACAGCGTGCCGCGTGCCTTCAATTTTGCTATGACATATCCAGGGGGTCATAGGGTGAAAGTGAGCGTACCCCCCGGAGTATCGAGGATGGGGGAGGGGCTTCTACTCTTTACAGACATTCTTCATCTGTGTATATGTATGTCCACAAGCGGGTGCATGCCTAATTGATTTTGAAACGATTTCATGATACAGTGTATTAGGCAAAAACAAAAACAATACTATCTGTATGTTTCAGGTAACATGCCTGAAAAAAGTACTGTGGTTCGGCTTTATAGACTTAATTTTTATGGCTTAATGTTATGCCTTATACCAAATTTAACAACGCATTTTTACTCTTTACAACGGCTATTAATTTGTGCAGAGTAGGGTCAGACACCCTGAACAGGCACGTTACAATGAGTGGCTGTGAGCATTGCCTTGCTAATAAAGTAATCGTTGATACAAGTAGGTGATAAAATATCAAGGGTCGGAAGGAAAATCTTGGGTATGTTGTATATGAATACAAATGTATTTTCTTGGTTTTAGACAATATTCCGTTATCAAAACAATCAATATAGTGATCTGGATGACCACTGCATTTGATTGATGTTCATTATACTGAATACAATGGGGACAAATCGGCCCCAAAATCCAAACCACGTGTCAGTCACATGTATGGGGATGGAAAATGAGCCATTCATGTGCATTGAGGAAACATGCATTGAATATATTGTAGCATAAATTGTATATTTGTAAAAATTGTATAATTTGTATGATTGTTTTTGTTTTTGCGTAAACTAAACATTAGATATGAGGTACACTGTACCTCCATCATCGTCCAGGGATAAACTGTGTCAAATTATATTATACTTAAAACAACATGTTGTATTCACCATTAATATATCTTAATGATCATTTACATATGATACCATATATTGCAATATAGAAAACAATGAAATTAAGTAAGTAATTGGTAAGTATGGTTTATGAAAAGATTCATGCAACACAACCAAGACGTGTTTTAAAACACTTTTTGGTTGTGTTACATGAATCTTTTCATAATAGGTTGGGTTACACTGTGACTGTCAATTAATGGTCCATTGTCTTGGCCTTTCTGTAGAGGAGCATGCATTCGACTTTATCCGCACATATATGGAGCCCATACCATTGCAATCGCAAAACCGCAAGATAATTCTTTTTTTTTTGTTGAGTGGAAGTATAATTATAATGAAAGGATTGGTGAAAGACCCTTATTATAATATAATTAAGTATGTTTGTGAACAGTGCAAAGACGTTTAAAATCACGACAATATTCAAATATTGGTTGATGAATTAGAATATCTGAACATGTTATCAATGTAACGTCACGCTACCATAATTGGTACAATTTTGACAGTCTTTCAGTGATATTTAAAAATCCGGATCTTGTATCTGGAATGAGTCTTGACAAAGACTATCCATGGTGGTTCATTTTCAGGAAAAATTGGATTCTAAATAATTTGTTTTTAAAATAATAACACTAAACTCGGAGTGAGATTTCGTCCGTTTTTCAGCCATGATAAGTACCCAAATTGGTACACCATATTTCTACTAGTTGATGTGCCAATTGCAACAAAATATTTACCATACTGAACTGCAATTGTATATAAGGACCAGAAAACATCGTTTAAGCATGCTTAAGCATTTAACTAACCCCTTCAAAATCCTCCAAAATGTTGTCGACGTACGATTTTTGGTTTTCTGACATGTTTAATTTGAAGTCATCTTGTATCCTTTAAATGTCACCGAAAACAAAACCATTTGGCAGGAATGCTGAACAATATCTCTATTGTTATACCATTAGCTTCTTCCATTGTGGTGACTGGAGAAGCTGTTACACAAAACCCAAGGAGTTCTTCTACCAACCAAAGAGAACGTTAGATAAATTCCAGAATTAATATATCAGACTGTTCTCTCAACCAAAGAAGACGTTACCTAAACTCAATTTAATTTTAAAGCATTATTGAAACCATTTTCTGACCTTGTACCAACGTTAAATAATTCATTTTCTCTAATTATGATGCACTAACTGGGTATATACTGTAGCAAGACTTTGCGTTTCGTCAACAGATATGACGTTAGCCATTGTGTTATCTTGGTGTCTACGTCTCTTTTTTTATTTTATAGAATTCTGCAGTGGATTACCAGCAGCAATAGCTAAAACGACGTACACTCTTGATTACTCTAGAGGAGTACCGAGTGCTCTCTATTCGTGTATCCCCGGTGCTGGTCTTGTAGGAGGTGATAAGACCTCTATTTGTGATCCCCTCACGAATACGTGGAGTTCGGCGACAATCGTTTGTTCTACAGGTATGGTGAAAGTTTTCGTTAAAGTGTCCAAATTCTAAAATATTCCTAAAACACATCCCAAAATATAATCTGTTGTTTTATTTCACAAAATGTTACCTTCTCTGATGAACAAATACATAAGAACATAAAAATGAAAATAATATTCGAAAACGGTTGCCATTTGGTATCTACAAAGAGCCTGGCATACTATTGAGTTGTCTAATAGATAAATAGTATCATTTGCATACTACTGATTGGTGGGTATAATTCTAGCAGAGCGATTTGAAATGTTACAAAACTATTGAATGCCGTATATGCCAAAAAGATAAATAAACCCTGTGTGAGATCAACAAATATCCTAACACAACCCCCGTAATGTTGTAGATTTACCAGCGGCTTGTGGTGATCCACCTCCACTGGTAAACACAGACACCTTTATACGTCCGTATAATGGAGATGACTACATGGCTATGTACACGTGTCGAAACATCACTGGTGAGGCTGCATCTGATCATTGTCCATTAACAAAATGTACGGGAATAGAGCAGTGGACATCTGGAGCTTCCGTGTCATGTTCAAGTAAGTAGAGCAACTCATCAGCCGTTAAGTTAGGCCTTGTAGTATGGTCCAATAGCAAGGCGTGTGAGGTAATAATAAATCAGTCTTGTTGGAAAATAAACAACTAGTTATGAAAGGTTAAGTTTGTTGTGTGACAAGACAGGACTGTACCATGAAAAGGCAAGTTTTGTATAGCAATAACCAAATGTGCCACGAACAGGTTTTGTCTTAAAATTGTAGTGTGACAATACACGACTTAACGATGAACAGGTTAGTCTTGTAGTGTGACAATAAACGACTGTACAATGAACAGATTAGACTTGTAGTGTGATAATAAACGACCGTACCATGAACAGGTTAGTCTTGTAGTGTGATAATAAACGACTTTTACATGAACAGGTTAGTCTTGTAGTGTGACAATAAACGCCTGAACAACGAACAGGTTAGACTTGTAGTGTGACAATAAACGACCGTACCATGAACAGGTTAGTCTTGTTGTGTGACAATAAACAACTGTACAATGAACAGATTAGGCTTGTAGTGGGACAATAAACGACTGAACAACGAATAGGTTAGACTTGCAGTGTGATAATAAACGATCGGGCCATGAACAGGTTAGTCTTGTAGTGTGGCAATACACGACTGAACAACGAACAGGTTAGACTTGCAGGGTGATAATAAACGATCGTGCCATGAACAGGTTAGTCTTGTAGTGGGACAATAAACGACTGAACAACGACCAGGTTAGACTTGCAGTGTGATAATAAACGATCGTGCCATGAACAGGTTGGTCTTGTAGTGTGACAATAAACGACTGTACAATGAACAGATTAGACTTGTAGTGGGACAATAAACGACTGAACAACGAACAGGTTAGACTTGCAGTGTGATAATAAACGATCGTGCCATGAACAGGTTAGTCTTGTAGTGTGACAATAAACGACTGAACAACGAACAGGTTAGACTTGCAGTGTGATAATAAACGATCGTGCCATGAACAGGTTAGTCTTGTAGTGGGACAATAAACGACTGAACAACGAACAGGTTAGACTTGTAGTGTGATAATAAACGACCCTTCCATGAACAGGTTAGTCTTGTAGTGTGACAATAAACAACTGAACAACGAACAGGTTAGACTTGTAGTGTGACAATAAACGACCGTACCATGAACAGGTTAGTCTTGTTGTGTGACAATAAACAACTGTACAATGAACAGATTAGACTTGTAGTGTGATAATAAACGACCCTTCCATGAACAGGTTAGTCTTGTAGTGTGATAATAAACGACCCTACCATGAACAGATTAGTCTTGTAGTGTGACAATAAACAACTGAACAACGAACAGGTTAGACTTGTAGTGTAATAATAAACGACCGTACCATGAACAGGTTAGTCTTGTTGTGTGACAATAAACAACTGTACAATGACCAGATTAGACTTGTAGTGTGATAATAAACGACCCTTACATGAACAGGTTAGTCTTGTAGTGTGACAATAAACGACTGAACAACGAGCAGGTTAGACTTGTAGTGTGACAATAAACAACTGTACAATGAACAGATTAAACTTGTAGTGTGACAATAATCGACTGAACAACGAACAGGTTAGACTTGTAGTGGGACAATTAACGACTGTTACACGGACAGGTAACTTAGGGAAAGTTTTGTATTGAGACAATAAATGAAAGTTTTGAAGTTTGAAATTATACGTCTTGACATCGATTGTGCCTTCAACAGGTTAGTTTTGAAGTGGGACAATAAACGAATGTGCCATGAACAGATATGTCTTTTGTAACAATAAACATTTTCCCTTATTTACTCTTAGATTTGGTAACATTCCATTTTCATTCATAAAGGAGTTTTTCCTTGCTATGTCGACAATATAGTACTTTTTCTCTATTTCAATTTGTATATACAGACGAGGACTGCTATGAAAACCCAAACTATGTCGGCCAGGTCACTTGTACTAAAACTGGACGGACGTGTCAACGGTGGGACCAGCAGGTGCCCCATAGTCACGGCTATTTCACAGGAAGCGATATAAACAACTACTGCAGGATATCGTCTGATACTTCAGAACCTTGGTGTTACACGACAGACCCGAGTGTCCGATATGAATCCTGTCCGGTGCCAAAATGTTAATGTAGCTATTTATGTAATGGATAGTAATCTATAAGCTGTGTGATTATTTAATGAAAAACAAATCGACAGTTGTCTTGACTTGAAGCGCTACATTCAGGATGACACTCGATCTACGAGAAAGTCACCTCGGCCGCGAGCGCTCTCAGGAGGCTGACAGTATCAGACAATCGCCTCGGCTTGGACATCCTCGATTTCCAGGGGTTACGTTCAATTTTGCTCTCTGCACCCCTGGAATATGTCATAGCAAAATTGAAGGCACGCGACTAGCTATTTGATTGGTGTCAGGTAAAAACAAACCTGACCAATCACTAAGCTGATACTTGTCCTTTGTAGATAACAGAGGAGCGGCGCCCGACTTCAAAGCCAATAAGTTTTACCGTTACGCGACCGCGAGTTTCTTTTACTTAACATCAACGGATCAAACTAGCCTTCTCGTCTCATCCACAAGACGGCGCACATTGAGCCTTCGATTCTAATATGACATATTCCAGGGGTGCAGAAAGCGAAAGTGAGCGTAACCCCTGGATATCGAGGATGCGGCTGGTAGCGCTCTCCGGAGACTAACAGAAACACTCCGTTTCTTAGATAGTCGCCACGGTGGGAGCGCAATACGGAGCCTGACAGTTAACACTTAGTTAATGGAGCAGTTGTCTTGGCCAAGAGTAATACCATGGGGATGACTCGCGGTCTACGAGATAGTCCCCTTTAATTATTTTCCGCTATAACCTGTAAAAACCTGACCTAAGATATAGTCGCCTCGACTAAGAGCGCTACCTGGGAAAGACGTCGGACCTACGAGACAGTTGCCACGACTAAAAGCGCTACTAAGGAGATAACATGTAACGCCGATCTTCAACACAATCGTCTCGGCTGAGAGCGTTACCCTGCAGATGACGGTAACATGATGAATGTAACAATGATCGTTTTCGGAGTGGTTTACAGAGTGGTTTTCGGAGTGGTTTACGGAGTGGTTTACGGACTGGTTTTCGGAGTAGTTTACGAAGTGGTTTTTGGAGTAGTTTACGGACTGGTTTTCGGAGTGCTTTTCGGAGTGGTTTACGGACTGGAAAAATTATATATAATATCATATGATCAATGATATCAATGATATGTAATGCAATATATATATATGATACAAGATGTAACACTTAAAAGTATCACACCTGAGTTTTAGCTATTCATGGTTTGTCGTGAGAACAAATATTTCATAAAATCGACAGGCTACTGCAGATGAAGGTATCGAAGGAAGTGACAATTGTTCTCACGTCAAACCATTTGTATACTGTGCTGTTAATTGATTAACATCTATATATTTACTATTTTATAAAGCTCCCCGACCATCTTCCTACCGACGTACGTACGGCATCATTTAAAGATCATCGATAAATATTAACAAAATGAAGGTTAGCGCAATGTAATACTTCTTAATGTCAAACTAGGGGAGGGAAAACTCAAAAAGGTCTTGTCATCACATGTACACGAATTCTAAAATTCCTCCTGCTTCACTTTAAATATTTGTTTGTGAATTTTTATTTTCTACAAAAAATATATTTCCAAATGCGCATTTATTTTAATTGATAATGATGATCTGTCTCATGAAACTAAGAGTGCGACCAACTGTTGCACAGGGAGTAGGTGTAAACTAGAGACAGACAGTTATAATTTATTTTTCCATCTATCACTGTCACTGTCGGTGACACGTAAAGTTCTCATTTTCCATATTGGCATCGTTTTAATTTGATATTAGAGATCCGCCTCCGTCGGACTTGGAGTAGATGTGAACAAAACAAAAACATGCCAAGCATTTAATAATACATTTCCACTCAGATATTATCGGTGTCAGTGACACGGAATCATGTCATTTGTAAAGCTCCCACGGGACTAACCAACGATACGAGATTACCTTTTATCCATACAGTGAGACAACTGTGAAAAGTAAAAATGAATAAATACCATCCCTTTTTCCTTTGTCTTTTTTATTTTATTTTCTCCTTGGGAAACTCCAGATTATTCTGGTGTGAAAACAACGATCCGTCAATTGATACATGATAGCTTGTGAAAAAAAACCCGTTAAGCAACAATTTAAAAAGCGATGAGAAATAAACTTAGTCAAGCAAGACTTCTTTGATTTTGTTAATTTTCAAATTCACTGTATATACGAAGCAATTCTCGCCTGCTGTGGGTGTGTTTTGAGGGTACATTGTAAAATTGCAAATTGTTGAATCAAAAAAGGAATGAGATATCATATTTCCTTTCATAAACCCTCACGTCTGACTAATGTCCAGTCAGAGGTAATTCAAACTGTTATTTACAGGCATTTGTTTTCTTCATTCAGAATAAATGCTCACTCTCTTGCTTGTTCTGGTCTTTGCCAGTCATTGTTATGTTCCAAACCGTCTATTTAAACACTTCAGTCACAGGTACTAGCCTCGTCTGTCAATACACCTATATTATACTTGATTATAGTATAGGTGTATTGACAGACGAGGCTAGTACCTGTGCTTCAGTGCGATACTATCCAATCTGGTAGTTCGGGTTGTTCATATATATAGAGAGATATATTGTGACGGCAATGGTCTTATGCTCTGTTCTTTGACGATTAGCTTCGGTTTCTCCTCAGATTACACCCTTTCTGTATAGAGAGGGTTATCTCCGAGCATCATACTTACCTGCTAGGTTGAATAACTACATATGGCTAACTCCATTTTCGCAATAATTACCCGCCAAGAATAAAAAATTAACGCTCCCCTGGTCATGCCTATGACTGGTCCCTCGCGCATGCGCAACCATCTTTTGAAGGCCAGAATTTGTTATCTATCAGAAGATGAAACCCTGGGGAGGAGGGCGGGTTACCTAGCAGGTAAGTATGATGCTCGGAGATAACCCTCTCCATACAGAAAGGGTGTAATCTCCTTCGCATCATACTTACCTGCTAGGTTGAATAACTACATATGGCTACTTCAAAAATCCAAAGCTTGAATAGGAGGTGGGGGTTTCAAAAATCAATATAATTATACTCACCCCAAGATCCCGAAGTCAAATCACTGTCTTCTTTCTGATGTCAATACAGCTCGAGCAAACCTGCCGGTCTCTTGACTCATGTTTTTTAGATAATGATTGGTAAATGTTGACTCTGACTTCCAGGATGCAGCCTCCATGATCTCCTCCATTGAAATGCCTTTAAATAAGGCCATGGAGGTCGATAGACTCCTTGTATCATGAGCCTTTGCCATAGAAAAATCTGTGTCTGTGGACTCTTTATTACATCTCTCGATAGTCTGAACAATCCATCTTGAAATTATGTCTCTTGAAGCAGCATGACACAAGTTATCCTTGTAAGTAACAAACAACTGTTCTACCCCCTTTCTGAACTTCTTGGTTCTTAAAAGGTATTGACTCAAAGCCCTACACGGGCAAACTAACCTGTCCTCCTCAACTGATGACAAACTAGCCATCTTTGGAAGAAAAATACGCTTTGAAACATATGACAAAGAATCATTCTTTGCCAAAAAACCAGGATGTGGAATCAAGGCTACACCTGTCTGATCCCATCTGATATGGCCCTCCTTACAACACAGGGCCTGTAACCCGCTTCTTCTTCTACCTGAAGAAATTGCAACTAAAAACACAGTTTTCAATGTTAAAAACTTTAACGGAACATGGATGAGAGGCTCAAACGGAGCCTTCATTAACATATTTAACACAAGTGTGAGACTCCAAGTAGGAGATAACTTTCTCTTAGAAGGTCTACTATTAAAGTAGGCCTTCAACAGCTTTTCTAATCTTGGGTGGTTACCCACTTTAACTCCATTCCAGCCGGGATGGATTAATGAAATAGCTGATCTATAACCTTGTATAGTACGAACCTGGAGATTCTTAACTGAAAAAAGATACTCCATGAAATCAGCAATCTGAGCTACAGTTGCTGAAAAAGGGTCAAACCTCTTCTCTGCTGCCCATTTTGAATATAGGTTCAGCTTAGCATTGTATGTCTGATATGTGCTAGGTCGTCTAGCCTCAACTGCTCTGTTTGCAACAGCTCTTGAAAATCCTTCCTCACTATACTGTCTCCTGACAGCTTCCATGCAGTCAACTTCAGTATGTCTGGGGATGGATGAAGCCAGCCGTTGTGAGGCTGCTTGATTATGTCCTCCCTCAGAGGTAATCTGATTGGGTGCTCTATCAGCAGATCTATTAGGTCTGGAAACCATGCTTGTCTCTCCCAGAATGGTGCTATTAAGATCAAGGTCATGTGTTCCTGACGGACCTTCCTGATCACCCGTGCTACTAGGGATATTGGAGGATATGCATAAGCATACATTCCTGTCCAATTCTGAGCTAGAGCATCTACAGCCAAAGCCTGGCTGTCTGGGACTGGAGACATGTATACAGGCAACTGATGATTTAGTTTTGAGGCGAACAGATCTATCTGAGGTTCTCTCCAAAAATAAAATACCTGGTTCAGTATCTGTTTCTGAAGAGTCCATTCTGTTGGAATGATCTGAGACCTCCTGGATAGAGCATCTGCAGTCAGGTTTAACCTGCCTGGTATGTGTATTGACTTTAGTTCTATCTTTTCTGTTATACAGAATTGGAGAAGTCTCCAGGTTAACATACAAAGTCCTGGAGAATGAGTTCCCCCCTGCTTGTTTATGTATGTTACTACTGTTGAGTTGTCCGACTGTACCAGAACCTTCCTTCCTTGTACTAGTTGACGAATCTGCGTAATTGCTAATTGAACTGCTTTCAGTTCCTTCCAGTTGATATCTCTCGATATCTCTTGTGGACCCCATCTCCCTGAGATCCTCAAATTCTCTATGTGGGCCCCCCAGCCCTCTCCCGACGCATCGGTAGTTAGGACTAAATCTACTGATCTGTCCGTCAGTGTTCTGCCTCTGAACACTGTTGTCTCCCCTCTCCACCAAAGGAAGGACTCTGTTAACAACTTGTTGACTGGGATGAGAGCATATATGTCTTTCGTCTTGGGTCTCCAATGATAAAGGAGAAAAAGCTGAATGGGTCTCATGTGTAGTCTTGCCCATGGTATGACCTCTATGCATGAGTTCATCAGACCCAGGATCTGAAGCACATACCGTACTTGAATACTCTCCCTCTGCTCTACTATGGAGAACAGTTTTCTTAGTGTTAAGATTCTTTCCCTTGGAGGAAAGACCAGCCCTAGGT